GCCACACAGCATCTAAACAATTAACCAGAGACTCAGAAGTCAGACTTGAATGACAACACTTGGTTGGAAGCTAAGTTATAGAGCTCCCCTATGTTTGAAGCGGGGAGTGAGCTTGGATACATCTTTTAGAAACAAGAGCAGTTCTAGTTTCTCTGGCTTTCCTAGAAGACCTCACACAGCATGTTTACGCACGTGTGCATGCACACCCACACACGTAGCCAGAAGGGTGGTTTAAGACATCCGCCTCCACCTTATGTGCACACCCAGCAATGCACATGCAGGAATCAGACACCCTGAAAAGCAACTGAGCGTACTCACAGCCATGCCTAGAATCAGAAATGTCTTTTCTCTTGATTTGCAAACAAGACGTCTTAATATAAAAAAACACCAGAAGATGGAAAATGGGCCTAGAAAGGTCACAGACTCTAGCTTTTGTAGAGGGCTCCCATACTAAGAGATCAACAACCTGCTGATGGCAATAGTTTCTTAGGATCTCTTTCTGTTCCTGAGATTCAGTCCTCTGGGGCAGGGACTGCATCAGATTTGGATTTTGATGGATTTAGGTGAATTTGCAGACACCTTGCATTAACTGTGTTATGCTCTGCTGTATGCAGACTTGGGTGTGGGGAGGAAGACAACCAGCCCAGATTATAAACTACAGTTCTCCAACTCTGGGATCAAAGGAAACACACCTACATCATTCTCAGCTCGAACTCAGCCATAAGCACCACAGACACTTATTTGACAGATAAAAGCAGCCTCTAACTCAGGAATTACTGCACTCCTTTCAGAGCAATACTAAGAATCTCGGAGATGCAAAAAAAGGAAAAAAAAAAAAAGAAAAAAAGAGGGAGGAAGAGTTACAGTTGGGGTGCTAAGATATGAGCCTAGTTCCCCTGAATCCTGAACTTCAGCAAGATTCACACTACTCAGTCACACACCATCCCGTAAGGTTCACAGGGAGAGAATGCCTGCTGCACCCTTCCCTTGATAGTGGTAGAAATACAGCCCAACTTGGACCCTACCTTGTATCTGTCCTGCTAGAATCCACTATGCATTACATATTCAGATATAGCAATTACTACTGCCTGTTTCTCCTGCACGCACCATACTTCATTTGTGGAAACGTTAGCAGTAACGTGCAATTACCTAAAAAGCACAAAAGACCCTGTTGCTTGCAAAGGGCAAGGCAAGGACAACTGTACCTGCCCCCAAACCCAATGTGCAGACTCAAAAAGCCTCCCTGGAGTTCTCAGGGTTACAGAAGTGTGTGTTGGGGGGGTGGGGAGGGAACTTGGTCAGACTGGTTTACATCCCATCAGTTGGCTTCTGTGCAGATAGGACTGACCTGAAAAGAGCTGTCTTTGAAGAATCCAGGCATCCTGAGCCGAGACACCTCCAGCTTGTTGCCTCTCTGTAGTAGCCTCAGCTTTACTTGTGATGCAGATTCTGGCTACTTTGACCTTCTGCACGTTCTCTGGAGGCACCAAGTCAGCAGATTCTCTTCTGTTTCTGAGACTAGAGCTAGAAAAACAGAGATGACCTTAGGAGGGAAGCCTGAGATTCTGGATAAACAACAAAGATTCAACGCTCCTAGATCTCACTTGTCACAGATTCACTCTACTGCTCTGATCAAGATCCATTCCACCCTGCAAAAGTAGGGGTAGTAACATGGCACTCAGGGATTGTAAACTTTGACACATAACATACACTATACAAACCAAAGGGATTCAGACTCTGAAACGGCCAAAAGCAAAATAAGGCCTACTAGCCTTTTCTTAGACTTAAGGGAAAGGTCTGTGGTTACAACTGTTTATATGTAAAACATTATTAAGTTCTGAGCTGGATATACAACACTTCTGCTCCCAGTTCTGCTAGTTTCTTTGCACAGACTGGGCCATAGGTTTCATTTCTATGCTTTACTCACTCTGTTGTTGCTATAGGAGTGTCTTAAACATCTACCAGTACGAAGTAAACATTGTCACAAGGGGGAATGCTTTTCATCCCTACAGCAGAGGCTGGAAGCAGTAACAAGCTCTTTTCACGTCTTTTTTGTCAGGGTCCAAGTTCGGCTTCTCAGGGTGGAAAGCCATGCATCTCCCCTTCCCCTATGATACTTACCAGTTTCACAGATCAGCATACCCTTCCCTGAGGGCACTGAAACCTTGTGGAAGATGGGGAAAAAGGGAACACTAATCATCAGCAGCCAGTAGCTGCTAGAAACTCTAGGAAAAGCTGAGGCTGGGGCTGTTTCTCACCTCCCTTATTACTCTATACTAGCTTTGATTGGCCAGCCCCCACCCAGCTCAGGAGGAACTGGTTCTGAACGAGCTTCAGGTGAATTCATGACTTCACCAGGGATACATGAAGTGTTAGCTCATACGGCCCCTTGTGGCCAAGCTACACTCTCCCAATTATCCTCTTCTTGCAGCTCTGCTCGACATGGGGATGACTCTTGGAAAGCAGTACACAGAATTGTTTACATTACTTTCCATGGACAAACCTCCCCTCAAAGTATTCTTCTGCCTTGTTTCTCAAGTTACAACCTCATATAGCACCCTGCTTGTCTTTTTTTAGAAAGTCATGGCTGGCTGAAGAACAAGCAGATCAAGACCATCCATGCAAGGTCTAGCTGTCTCAGGACTTCCCCCACCTCCAAATGCTCATGCTGTTCTAAGACTACTAATGCAACTGTGTCCAGTCTAGCACTCTTACACAAGCTTACTGCTGAAGCAGCAAAGGTTAAAGGGGTCAGTGAGGCATTAATTGAGGGTACATTCAGATAATTATGAGCTTAATGAATTAGTAGGCCTCAGATGATGCATATTAATTTGTGCTGCATAAGAGCTTATCTTCAAACAGAAGGGGAAAGCAACGTTGTGGTACTCAGAGCAGATCTAGTGATTTGGGGTAAATTATTATACTACGGTAGTTGAAATGTTTGGTAGGTATCCCAAGCCAAATACCAGACACCAATTCCAGGCAGGGGAAAAGGATCTTGATTTGGGCTCTTTCAAACTTTTTTGAATAAACTAACCAACCGACCACGGCTTGCTTACACCTCAAGAATTTGACAGAGAGTATGTCGCCGTGAAAGACTGAGTTTCTTCAGGAAAAGGTGGAAAAAGCTACCTGGCTGCATCCTTTTGCATTCAGCAGAAGCAAAGACACACTGGCTTGGTACTTATCAAATGTCTGATAGGAACTAAGCAAAACTTAATACAGTACAAACTGTCAGGCCTGCTTTTACTGAAGAGGCAAAAACAAGTGTGGAAGATCTTTCTCTGCCCTTTGCTGGTTACCTTTTCCAGAAAAGTTTGGTTTGGTGTTTGACTCATTGTTCAACAGCTTATCTCAAAAGATGCAAAAACTCAAAGGAGGAGAATAGTGACAGCTAACAGTGCAGGAACATTTGGTCCAAAACACTGTAGTGCAAACCTGCAGCTGAGAGAAGCAGCTTTTCTTTTTTTCTTTCCTGACCACCAAGCAAAAAAAAAATCAGCCTGAAGCCAAGCCTGTGGTGTACTACTCACCAAATTCATTTTTAAACTGAGAATTTCCCAGCATTCTTATGCCAACATTATGGCATAATCTTTTTCATCAATTGCAAAAAATAGCCTCTTTCTGTCACCCTGCTATAGACTGACAGCAAGCCATTCTATACAGCTATGAGCATAACCTGTACACTTCTCAGACCATAGCAGACCACCAAAGATCCTAGGTAATACAGTGATTTAACAAGGAGGAGGAAAAAAAAAAAAACAAACAACTTAGGCCTAATGAGCACAGGAACGGAATGGATCATTTATCAAGACTTCAAATTAAATGAACAGAAAACAAAGCCCAGAAGGTGACACCTATTTTACTCTCAATCACCTTGCTTGCTCCATCAGTATTGACCATTTAGTCACTGGAAGGGTCTTTAATAGGTATTACATGTGTGAAACAGAGACCAGCCCTCACTCAGCTGGGTTATATCCTTTTTAAAAAAATATGAAATCAAGGCACTAGGCATACAGAGTACTTCAAGCTGGTAGGATTCTGCGTTACCCTCACAGATCTCACTGTATTCATCACCTGGAAGTTACTTTGCAATTACAAGGAAAATGTACTTGAGTTTTCAAAACAAGTCATTTTGGGAAAACCTGCATTTAAAAAATGGTCTTGAAGACTGGGATATGGCGGAAGAGTTCAAACTCACCACCACTGCTGAACGGTTTCTCCAAGGTAAGGGCCTCAGAGGGATTGAGTGACTTGGCTTTCTTTTAAAAGCACTAAACACTGCTGTCTCCAAAACTCAGGTGAAATATATAAAATCTAACATTCAGCAAATTCTAGTCTAAAACTTAATGAAAACTCCATTTTATTTCGCTATACATTTACATGCAATCAAATCGAATAATAAATTTCTTTTTTGTAATTATGCATAAGGTATGTAGTTTACAGAAAATGAGATTTAGACAAAAATATAGATTTATATGAGATTAGTTTACTGGAACAACTTCCACAGAGAGTTCCAGAAGTGCTGGTGTGGAATAACCTGGCAATACTGACTGGGGCTGGAGCTGATAGTGAAACAAGTCTTACACCTTGAAATAGTGTTGAACTCAATGGCATGAATAATCAAAATGATTTTTTTTCCCCAAGTCTTCTCAGTGGTTACTCCCATGGCTTTCTGCTTTAGCCATTTCAATTTTAAACCTCTCTGGTGATGAAAAGACATGGAAACAATCCCAAGCAGTTTGAGAGCTACAATACTGCCTGACCTGCAGCATTTGTATCGTCCCCTCAGCATACTTGGAACGGCATCTCTCTTAACAACCCAGGCTCTTCCCTTTAGGTGAAGTCCAGGAGTCTAGCCTTTATGCCCATATGCTGAGGTCCAAAGGACAGAAATTTTGGGGCGTGTAGCCCAGACTCTGGTCACCCATTAAGCCAAAACGAATCATTTCCCAATCCAAATTCAGCACATTGCACATCTTGGGGGTGGGGTGGGGAGAGGAAAGAGGATCTAAATGCTCCTAATTCACCACATTGTCTCTGGACTCCTACTGTCTACCAGCTACTGATGAGAAACTGAGCCATCATATGCTGAAGTGGCAAGCTCACCACCTGGCACAAAGGCACTCACTCCCCGGGGAACCACCTGAGGCTAAAGGTAAGTTTGGGGCCTGCTACTACCTACAGAGACAGTGGTGTTTTAGGGTATGTCATGGGAAAAGGGCTTTTCTTTAGCCAGAGAGTCTGTATCCAGACTGGAATTTTTCTAACCTTCAAGTTCATCCCTCTTTCTAGGACAACTATATGATAATTACATAGTTGTACCTGCAGACAGACTTCCCTCCAAATACTACCTTTTCAGTAGAAAAACTTGAGAAAGGACTGAATGGAGTAATTCACACGCTTCTGACTCGTCTCACTACAGAAAAAAAGAGGAAGTAAAATTTCAGAGCTGAGCACAGTTGTTTGCACTGGACGTAGTGGCATGAGAACACCCAGACATGCACACTGTAAACAAAACAGGAAAAAAAAATGCTGTTTAGAGGGATGAGAAGGCAAGTTATGGACCCTTGACTCTGGATCTGCATTCCATTAGTGTTTCCCCAGCCTGTTTCCAGATAGCAGGGTCCTGTCTATTGCAATGGTCTTCAGCTAGTACCAGCTTTTCTTCTCCTTAGAACCTGATGTGCAGCCTCATCTGTGGATGTGGGTAAATCCAAGTCTGGCCTGCCCCATCACAGGAAACCCCGGCATAGACTCAGCAGGATCTGACAGCCCAGTACTCTCCTCAGTCATTGCTGCCACAGAAGCTTCCTCTACAAACACATCCTTGAACTATTCTAACCTGGACTGTTCCAAGGAGGATGTGCTATCATCCTCCAGTGAGGCTGAGAAGGTACAAAAGGGAACTGCTTGGGAAGTCCTGGGTTTCATAGGAGCAGTTGCGTCCTACTATAGCAGGGGTCAGTCAATGCACAGAATCATCTGATGAACAGGCTGAGGGTACAAAGCGCTGGAACCGAGGCTGGAATTTTCCCAATCAGAAGAACAAGGACAGCACAGCAATAGCACAGTGAGGTTCTTAAATTTAGCCCTAGCATGCATGGCAGGTTCCTTTTAAGTTGCCAACTCACAACTAGGTCTCCTGGCCAAGACCATCAGAAAAAAAAATCACTTGGGAAAGCACTGTACAAAAGGATCAAAATCTGCCCAACTCATTAGATACAGTCCAGCACACTCCCCCAAACAGAACAGCTTATCCCTATCTCTCATTCCACAAAGGGCTAATACATCCCCTTCCCTTCTGCTCTTCCTCTTCCCAGCTTGAGGATGAAGATGCCTCATGTGTCGACATCCCTTTTCCTCAGAAGATGCTGGAAACTCCCCAACCCAAGGCGATGCCAGTGCTTCGGGAAGCAAAAGTCCCCAGACCTCAGACCAAGAAGCCCAAACGCACCAGGCAGGCGAGCAACAAAATCAAGGGAGGCTGGCCTCGCCCCCCCCTTAATTACTGCCTTCTCATCACTCTGGCCCTGTGCAACAGTGCAGATGGCAGTCTGACTGTACAACAGATCTACCAATTCACACGGTACCCACTGTTCTCCCAGCTCTTAGTGTAGGACTGTGGGAAGCGAGAGGACGCGGGATACATAAGTGTCTTACCTTTCACTGAAGAGCAGGGATATGGCAGTTAGGACTTATGTTCTGTTCTCAGCTCTGCCTTCGGCTTAAGATGCCCCTGAAAAAACTACTTCCCCTCTATTCTTATTAGGAAATATGTACAGATTTGTAAACACCCAGAGAGTGAGACCTGGAATTTTACCACTGTCTTACTGTCCTTAGAAAAATGAAGTGCTGTTCTGCTCAACTGCTCCAGCCAGCCTACCACCAGAGCGGTCAGGCAGGAACCTTTCTTTCGGCTCTCACTCAGATACAATGTATCCTATTACTTACTGCAGCCTCCAAGTCCACTATGCTTCAGCTCAGGACAAATCTTTTCTCTCTGCAGGCAGCACTTCCCCTTTTTTCAAACAGCCCCCAGTAGCTGGAAAAACACTATCCGACACAACCTGTGCTTCAGCAGCAGCTTTGAGAAAACCACTCGCTTTGCGTGCGGTGAAGGAAACCGCAAGTTACGGCTTTGGAAACTAATCCCAGAAGGACGCAAAAAGTTTCACGAGGAGGCACAGGCTCTGCCCAAAGAGGCTCTCAACTTGGTGCGCCAAAGCATGAGTGAACCAGGTAGGTTTCAGAAGGTAGGAGCCCTGCTCTGGCCAGGGCAAACTGCAGAACAAGTCAGACTTTACAAGATTCCCATAGCAAGAGGGTTGTAGATCTTGTGTGTATGATAAAAGTCGAGGAGAGCCGTGCGGAGAGGGCTCAGCTGAACATCTGATAAAGATGACTCTGCCCAGAACAGAGTCCTTATCTTCGGGCCTTATTGACTTTTACCCATATTTAGGTAAAGGGATAACTGAGTTGCTGTGTCCCATCCATCCCCATGAGCAACGCAGACACTTTCATTTGCTGTCTCTAAAGAGCAGCCTTTTCCCTGCTTGGGAGGGAAAGTGACAGAAGGGCACTGCACTCTGTTCAGGCACAATTCTATTCTTTTCACATGTACGGGAAGCGTTTTCTGTGCACTCTGAGGAAAATCGTATTGGTTGCTCCTCAGAACTGAGGAGCTGTTGCAGAATATCACTGGGCACTTCTCCCAAGCTGAGGATCAAGCTCAAGCTCAAGGCTCCCAACCAGTATTGCTTGTGAGCACAGCAGGCATCCAAGCCAGCACACAGTCATCACATGCTGCCAAACATTTAGGCCTATGAGATTGTACTAGATGCTTAAAGATACTTGCAGAGATACTCCCACAAGTGGGGCTTAGCCTCCAGACCACCAAAGAATTGTTCTCTAATTAAACAAACTAGGCTAAATTAAAACACAGAGCCTTAATTTCAGTATTGCTTTGCTCAGTAATACCTATCAGCTTAATACTGATTAAGATTTAGGCTATAGCACCAGTGCCTGAGCAGTCATTACAGTCCCCATAACTACAACTTCCTCTCTATCTTTTTGCAGAACTCATGAGATCTCTGTTTGGTCTATGATTCCTCCTGGCTCCCTGCTTCTGAAACATATACCATATGTTTCCAAATGAAAATTATTTTCTCAGGTGCTGCCACAGGTAGCTTCCAAAGAACTGCACATGGGAACACTAGCTGTGAATGGGAACACTAGTGATTCCAGTCCCTAGCAGAACTGGGTTGCAAATGGAGCTTATTTTCTTCTACTTAATGCTGGCTGAGCCAGAGAAAAATAGTTGAGTTCTATACCCTGTCAATAGTCTGCTCCAGGAAGACTTACCTGTGAGAATCCTTTGGACAAAGACTTTTTTGTCTCCCGCTAGAAAACCTGGTATGAAGGAAAAATAATGCAGGCTTCTTATTTCACTAGAGGCAACTGAAAGGATGCTCACTCCACAAAATGCTGGTTGCCAAACGTAACTTGTTCCTCCTCTTGGAGGAACAATGTTGCACCTAGCCTCAAACTTGGGGCCTTTAAACTAACAGCTATTTGTTACTGCTGCCAGGCGGTGTGTTCCTTGATACTTCAGAAAAGGGTCTTTGTGAAAAAAAAATAGGAAAGGACAAATCCTTTTGAGCTTGTATTATTTTTTCGTCTTTTTTTTTTTTTTTGGATGCTTTTGTACTGAACTTAGAAATGAAAGCACTAAAGGCTGAGTTATTGAGTCATTGCTCTTTGTACTGTACAGTGGATCACTGAGCAGGAAGGTGGAGCTAGAACCAGACTTCAAGCGGTCTGCACTGGAAAACTTCAACTGCACTACTTTGTTTAGCAAAACTTAAGTTCCAGCTCCTTGCGCCTTGACTGTAGCAAAGCTGGGAAATTAAGATGATCTTACAAGAGAAACTTGTTACTGCTTTCCTGTTTCACAAAGGTATACATCAAAAAACAACTGGCAGAAAAGTTCCCTGTCCCTTCTTCAGACAAAATTCAGATTCCTCCTTGACTTGGGACCTTTAGAATAGTATGCCTTCTTCCACAAGGATGTAGCATACACAAGACCACTCTCACATACACCCTTCCATTCTGACTCAACACATTCATCGCTCCTTGTATTTCTAGGAGGTTGTTTTGTCCTCTAAAGATGGCAGATATCACGCCTCTTCGGTTACCAAGAAGCTAAACACAGTCTAGCTGCATCTCACTGCAGCTTTCCTTCTTTGTTAAAGGAATGGTTTTGCTAACGTTCCCAGATGCTTCCTACAAAATGGGCAGGAGGGACAGTTAAAACCATAGCATTAAAGAGCACAACTTATATGCATGTTCTACAAGGAAGAAAGATGGGATAGAGGGTAGGGGTTGCACATTTCACATCTGCACCTTTGGGAATATATCTAATGCAATGTCTGGAATAGAGTGCATGAAAACAACCCCAGAGCATCACAAGAAAAGCTGATATTATGGCTGACTTGAGGAGAAAAGGAGAAAAAGTAAACAAAAATAGGAAGTCAGATTTGAAAATGCTTAACATCATCTCAGCTGTTAGCTGAAAAAAGAGGTGGTAATTATCTGTTTAAAGAAAAGCTGGCTGCAGGTCACGCTACACTTCCATTTCTGGCTTTTTTAATACTTCAGTTGCTTAAATGAAACAGTCTTTTGAATTATGTCCAGTATGTTTATAAGCACGACAAATACTAGTCTATTCTAATAAAATCTAGCTGTTGAGTCATATTTGAAGGATTAATTAGGTAGGAATATGAAGAAATAATATAGAGAAAGAATTTAGCTCTTTACTGACAGTTCAAGGTCCTCGGGAGGCCTGGTCACAGAGGACAAGTGTTGACTCTTCCATCACCACTGCACAAAACAGTTCCCGGCAGGGGCAGTCCTACCACACGTGGAGAGTGTGAAGTTGCTACCTGACAAGAAGTAGGGTGCTCCGTCATTCTCTCCTTGCAGGGTCATGTTTGCAGTCTGCTGTGAGCATTGTGATACCAGGACTCAAACGCAGAAGCAGCGAGAAAAGCTAAGACCAATCTCATTTCCTTCAGTAAGGCAACTCTTCGCTCGAAGCTCGTCTGCACCACCACACACATCTCACATTGCAGGGGACACACTGACATATGGCACCTGCCACACCTGTAACACTCAGTCCTCCACCTATGCTGTTCTCTCTTGTAATTTTCTCCTAGTCCAGAGGATTAAACTGCAGGAGAAAGCTGATCTGCTACCTAACAAAGGCTCTCAGTCTACAGGTCACAGGCCGTGCAGAGGATGTGTTAGCTGGCTGAGTGAGAAGAGTCACTACCATGCAGACGTCATTCCAAGCTGTTGCACTTGTTTGCCCAGCTGTAAAAGCAGCAGGCAAGGACCCACAGGTTGCTTTGCAAGGTGCTTGGCAACCCTCCACAGAAAAATGCTCAATTAGTGGAAATTGGTGAGTACTACAGAGTGCCAGGAGAGAGTTATCTTGGAGAGGCAAGGTCATGACAGAAAGAAAAAAAAAAAAAGAGAGAGAGCTTGCTGTTGTGTTTTGACTTACTTGTTTCTCCAGCAAGAGGCAAGCAGATCAGGTCTCCAAGCCAGAAGTAAGGCAGGTAGCAGGTGTCTAGTGTTGAAGAAGAATAGATTTCTTGTGCCTTCTTCCTGGCTTCTTTAATAGTCGCTTGAGATGAAGCAGGATCAGTCATCTACAGCAGTGCCTCAACAGCTGCCGCATTTCCCCAGCTGTAGAGCAGGAGCCAGGGCATTCTGTCGACAGGGGATAAATATCAGGCACAGCCCTGGTACAAGTCCTGAAGCTCACTGCTGAATTATATCCTAAACCTGAAGTAACACCAAGAGGATGACGGGGACGATACATCCAAATCTAGTGGGCAGAACAGGCTAGGTATACCCTGAAGTTCAGAAAAACTGAACTAGCTGCGCACAGGCTGAAAATACACCAGAAAAGAGACCCCTTTGTAAATGCCCTATAGGTCTGCTATTGTCTGCTCAGAAGACAGCACATAGCTAAATGCACAATGGCTCTGATGTAAGTACGGCACTTCTCAAATCCTCTCTCATCCACAAGGCTAAGAATCTATGCTTTTGTAGCAGCTCCTGACTGTGCCAGAAGTGACCTATGTTTGGCCAGACAACTCATTTCACCTGAGCGCCAAACCTCTGAAACTCAGAATCCCGTTCCTTTATGTGAAGGGTGAGGGACTTAGCATTACCAGTAAGCACACTCTGGATGGAAGGAACTAAGGAAGGATATAAGATTACATTTTTCAAAAACAGCATAAAGGCAGGAAACAAAAGCTCAGGGTTACTTTAAAAAGCTGAATTTTAATAGCTGCTTGGCAAGTTCACAGTATGACACAAGCTGTACAAAGCATTAAGAAGCCTACAAGAGTATAAAAGAACAGACTATATATTAAGTTATTTGATCCCTAGGATCAAGCCTGAAAGCATGCAGTAGAATAGTAGCTTCCCTGTCTAGCAGAGGGCAGACAGACCACTGCATAGGGTGGGTCTGCACAGCTGGGCACTAATTTCATCTGACCGATTTGAGAAGTCAAAGGGGGACAGTTGCCAGTCCCACGTGTGTAGTCTGCATAAGCAGGACCAGGTTTCAGGTGAACTGTTTTTGAAGATGTGGCCTCACTAGATGGCAGCATTTGAGTTAATTAAGTTACCTGCATAATCTTGCCACTGCAGTTTAGATATTCTTCTTCGGTCAAGCCAGACTAAACTGTGAGCATCCTCTGCTCTTATTAAATTTGACAAGAAGCACAGATTGCTGTAGAGCTGCGTGTGGACAGACAGGCGAATGAAGGAGTCAGACCGTGATACCAGACAGACTGTACCAAAAGGAAGTTATGTGCGAGGTTAGCATGTTTCAGAGGTGGAGTGCCTTCAGATGGTGTTCTAACAAATAAAGTTACAGACAGGCTAGAGGAGGATGGTGTTTGTCACACGGATTTCTTCACTTGCCTCTTGGCATCAAACGCCAGGGTGAATGCTGCTGCTGAGGCTGACTTCTCAGAAGAGATGCGGGGTGGGCATTAAAGGCATCCATGTTGCACAGACAGTCACAGAACAAACAGTCCTAACGCTGCCAGAACAAGAGGAAGGGTGTTATCTGCCCTGAGACCAGTCTGCTTGCTCTGCACTCGTGACAAAAAGATATTGATAAATTGGAGAGTCCAGTGCAGAACCACTAAAAATAGTTAGCGTGCTGGAGCACATGAGGTACAAGAGGCTGAGAAAACTGGGGTTGTTCAGCCTGGAGAAAAGGTGGCTTTGGAGGAATCTAATTGCTCTCTCCAACCATCTACCGAGGGAGCTACAGAGATGGGAGCCACGCTTTCCAAGTATGCAGCAAAAGTACAAGAAGCAATGATTTCAAGCTGCAGCAAGCAAAATTCCACATAGATATAGGAAAAAGACATAGATGTGCCTGTGACTCTCATCCTGCAGTGAGAGACTGACCAGGCTGGGATTTAGCCACATCCAAAAGATGGAGTACGCATTAGATTCTATAGAAGGTGGAAGATCCTCACTTCAATGAAGCTGTGATTTGCCTAGCAGTCATTTAAAAGCCCTCATTATCAGAAGGCGTTTTCCATTATCCCACCCAGTTAGGTCTAATGTTTTCAGAGTATGTTGCTACCATGAGAAACAGAAGGTTTTCCTAATCAAAAGTATCACAATCCACAGAGAAAGGAACACACGTAACCCTAACGCTCTAGTTAGCGTAAGAGCATGGTGAAAGCCCAGTAGCCCGTACATGGCTCAATAGGATCCCTCCATTCTGCTCATACCTGTAGACGTTGACAGAGATGACAAGCTAACTGGGCATGCAGTATTCTGTGGAGAGGCCTGCCACTACTTCTAGCTCCAGGCAAGGTCAACTCACCATCTTGCTCCTTGAGTCAACAGGCCAGAGAATGTCTTGTGCAAGGTGGCTCCACTCATCTTCAAACTGCTGGCATAAGAGGTATTTACCAAGATCTCATCCTGGACGCAGACCAGAAGAAAGAAGGGGGAAAAAAGGCATCAAACTTCATTGGCTACAAACCTGGACTCACCCACCAGATCTCTGCAAGCATCATAAACTTGTCAGATTGCTACCAGGTAGCAACCCTGCTCTGAAACAGCTGTGATAAGTTTTCTGCTAAAGATCATGCTTTACAGAAACCCTGCAATACCTCAGAGATACATTGCTGTACTTCAAAGAGAGCATTATAGCTATTTGTGCAACATCAGAAGAAAAACGTGCAGTGACTCACTTATGTGGCTATTTGTTACAGATGTTCAGCAATCCCAACCCTTCCTCAAGGAAGATGGCATCAAAAGAGTCGTCTAGGCTGAACTTTGCCCCACACCACTCCCGCAAGTCCCGTTAGCCCCCTCTGTCCTTTGTCGTTTATAGCCTACGTTAAACTTGTTGAAATGCACACGTGCCAATTGAGCCTCCAGAACCACATCCCAGAGCTGAGAGTTTGGTATAGAGGGGGAACAAGTTCCTATAGAGCGAAGGCTCTTTGAAGACAGAAAACAAAGTTTTCCCATTTGATGGGCAAGCCCTCACAAACCAACAGCTACTCTCAGCTCCACCCTGCGCAGGCTTCTCAGCAGCAGTGCCCACACAGAAATGATGGCACACGGGGAACAGGGAAAACCATGGCCAGTCACTAAGGACAGAAAGGGTTCTCTCTAAATGGACACGGCAGCCACACACGTGCTCACAAAGCACCCAGGAAAAGAGACCTTTGGAGGACAGATGAGGAGCCTCAACCACAGCACATACCAACAGCAGTGGCCAGCAGGCCTGTGCTGGCCTCGCCTGGCTGCAGCCCCCGGCCCTGGTAGGGGATCCCCATCAGGAGCCCAGGTCCGCCCTGGGCCCTCCCCCCCCGGCCACCACCACAGCTCTCATCGCCTCAGCGCCCATGCCCCACAAG